AGAGAGAGAGAGAGGGAGAGAGAGAGAGAGAGAGAGAGAGAGAGAGAGAGAGAGAGAGAGAATCTTTTGTGATTGGTCATAAGAGCTGTCAATTCCTTGCCATCGGAGCGTCGCGCGCCTAAGCCAGCAAAGTTTTCACTTTGATGTGCGTGGCCAACCTAGCAACACAGGCTTTCCCGCGATGCTTCGCGGCAGATGACTTCGTAATCGTTTCCCGTCATTCTCCGGGCCGCGCAGACTGGGGCAGAGAGGGGGCAAGAGATGGCCGGGGTGCAAGGCGGAGAAGGCCCGGCTTCCGAGGCGGCCGGACCGGGCGGCGTGAATGTGTTCGCCAACGATGGTTCGTTCCTTGAGCTGTTCAAGCGGCGTATGGAGGAAGCCGCTGCGTCGGGAGGAAAGAGTGGACCAGAAGCGGCGGCAGCTGGGGCCGAAAAGCAGAAAGAGACCGAACCGCGGCCAGAGCCGCCCGGGGACCAAGAGCCGCCGGGAAAGAAGCGGAGCGGGAGCGCCCTCAGCTTCGTAAGGGATCTGGGCACTGACCTTTTCTCTTCTTCCCCTTTTTTCTTGTTTCTTTCTCCTTTTTCCTTGGCCTTCTCCAAAGGACCGAGGCGCAGAACCCTTTGTCAATTTTCTCTCTCTCGATAATAGGATGTCTTTAATAAATACTTCACAGGCAGAAATTCTCCAGGTGCCGCGTCTTAGCTGCCTCTGTAGAGTATTCGTTTTCTTTCCCCTAGTATTTGTGTCCCTGCTGCCCTGTAAAAGAGATTACTTTTTATTATAGCAATATGATGTTAGCAGGAGCAATGTTACATTTTCTTCTTCCTTCTGAACTCTCTTGCTCGCTCCGCCTCCACCCCCCAGTTTGTTTTGAAAGGCACCAATTTGGACCCATCTTTCTAAGGTTGTCTGGTGTACAGGTAGCTATTTAGTACATTTTTTCCCTCTCCATCACTGTGTTAGGCCCCCCCCCCCCCGAAATATGGGTAGAAAATTAACTTATTCACAGTTGTTCACAGGACTGTGATGCTATGCTCAACACGATTCCTGTGCAGATTTATGGTTTGCTGGGCTTGGTAATATTGGCTGAATAATTAATCTATGGTGACAAATGTCCCAACTGAGTCTTCCTTCTGGGAATGTGAAGCTGCCACTCTTGACATGCATATAATGTAGATGTTTTTAAAAATGGGAGCAATACAGATGGAAACACTTTGATCTGCAAGTACATAACACAATATGCTTTGCTTTTAATTGTCTTTTGGAAAACATCATTTTAGGCTGATTTGGCCTTTATTATCAAGGCACAAGTAAATAAACTGGAATGCATTAACTCTATGAAAATGTTTTTAAAATGAAATTGCTTCCCCCTCCCCATAAAAAGTTGTTGCTAGTGAGTAGTAACAAAGGTTTATTGTTTTTCTGTATTGACAGTTTTAAAGTCATCAGTGTATCTCTTGGGACCAAAATGAAATCTTTTTGTTCTCCTTGTTAATGTAATACAATAAACTTAAAATATACTGAGCCATTTTTATTTGCAGTGGCTAGGGAATATTGCAAGTATGACTTCATTCTACATCAAGCATTAATTATAAATCTGGACATGAGGAAGAAAGCCTATTCTGCATTATAATGAAATAATATGATAATCCTGGCCATATTTATTGAACTGTAATTCTTACTGAGTTCAGTGGAATTTACTCCTAGATAGGCATTGTAGCCTAAACATTACAAATAAAAATGTTTTATTTCCAATCTTTAAAATGTTGGGTGGAAGTTTCTAAATATAAATTGTTTTCCAACGTGTATGTTTCCATCACCATTTATAAAGCAATTTGTACTTGCAATGCATGTGGCATTGCTCCAGAAATGGATTGGGGAGGGAGTGCTGTACCATCTAAAAGTGATCATTGGAATCGCTGTTTTGTTTCTTTATTGCTAACTGAAATGGACATTTTCTATTTTTAAACTCTCCTCTTCAACTAAGGAGCAAAAATTCTGTTTTTCAGCATAAAAACTGAAGCTGAATCACATAAATGGTTATGTGATACTGGAAATAGCATTTTTTTAAAATGTATGCAGCAGGACCTTGCAGGTGTATCCAGGATTACAGTAGCATATACCACACTTCCCAAGACCATGAAAAAGATAATTATTTCTTTTGAATTAATGTTGTATTGACTCTACTAATTTGATTGCTTTCATGATTTTGAGGAAATCAAAGTACTTCATATAATGTATTCCAGGTTGTTATATTGTAGGGAAATAAAAGTAAAAATAGAATGGTGTTCCTATTTCCCACCAGGCAGCAAGCCTGAAAAGAATTTGGAATACTTCCATTTCTTGTTACTTGTTAATGTCTTTTAATGTTTGGGCTTAACTGTACAGATGTATTGGTGAACGCTGCTAAGGTGCCCTTTTACCCTCCTAGCACAGCGGTGTAGGTAACACTCGGCAGCTCTGTACTGACTGACAGGTGTGATGGCGAGCTAAGATGATCTAATTGAAGGACTCCCTATACCGTTATATAGTGGGCAACATTCCCCTTGCAGCTCCCAGGCTCGTATAACGGTTGCAGTCTTCTATCCCTTCACCCAGGTGGGCAAGCGGAGAGGGGGCAGCAAGCTAGCCCTGAAGACAGGAGTGGTAGCCAAGAAACAAAAGACAGAGGAGGAGGTAAGTTGGGACACATCAGGAATAATAAATTGACCGATCATGGGCAGCATGGGGCTTGCTAAAAGTTTCACTAAAGAAAGTAATGTTGTGGTTTCCATTTCAGGACTCTAGAGCTGAGCTCTTCCACCTTCAGGTTGCCTAAGTTTAACACTGATATCATAGCTGGGTCTGCCCTTGTGGGCTTAGAAGAATAGGGACTTGTTCCTAGTTCACTTGTAATAAGAACAATTAGGATTCATTTCCTAAATCTGTTTTAAGCAAAGTTCTTATGTCTATTTTTGGTCTATGAAATGAATTTAGCTCCAAAGAGATCAGAGCAGCAATGTATATCCTGTTGTCCTAACTATACCTTGTGTGACAGGTTAGAATGAGACATGATAACCAAAAGTCCATGCAGTAAGTATTGTGGCTGACCTCCCCAGTAAAATTACAATCTCTGTGTTTCAATTCAGTGGCTTCCCTAGATTGATATGTAGGCTGATGATCATGGGAACTGGTGCCCTAAGAATAATATGTTTTTAAGTTCAGTTTAAATGTGTATTATTCCTTAATTGGCTCCTTTTTTCTTTTGTAGGTTTTGACAAATAAAGGAGATGCATGGGCGAAATATATGGCTGAAGTGAAAAAGTACAAAGCCCACCAGTGCAGTGATGATGATAAAACCCGGCCTTTGGTGAAATAACTTTTATCTCCAGCCTGGACTGTCTGTGATGTACATAATTATTTAAAACATCGAAGGAGTAGTGCTGCCCCTCAAGACTGAATGCTGCCATGGCAGCAGGTGACTTGCCATACTTTTATATTTGAGAATTTAGAGCCTCCTTCACTGGTTCATTTATTGTTTTCCCCTTCTTCTGAGAGCTAAGAACTTTGACTTAGTTGCCAGATTTTTTTTAATTTGTAACACCCCTCTCTCCAAATAGTGGAATTGGTCTGACATTTCTTTCCCAGAATCATCAGGCAACATACCTTTGCTGATAATCTTTCAGCATTGAGCCTTTGCTTAAGATTTTCTGTACAGCTGAACTTTCTACTATGGGACGTGCTAAGAAGCTCTCTTTATCAAATTCAGTACCTCTTACTGTTGAAAATAAATTTAAAACGTGGTTGCAAATAGCCAATCAGTACTGCAGGCTGTAGTAATCCCAGAGCATGAAGTAATCCCTCTCTGTCCACTATGAAAGACAAGTGATTCTGGGTCTCTTGGTATGCTTAATGTCTTGACAGTTCGGTAGCTGCATTTCTGCCCTTGTTATTCTCTTCCTACTCCAATTTCACTGCATATTGCAATGAATTAATGGGGTTTTATCCTTAATTCCAGCTGCTGCTGCTTAAGCTTTTTCCTAGCCTTTTCCTATGCATGCTCCAGTCTATCATTGGGGGATATTCTGTGTCTGTCTACCATCTAAGAAGCAAAACACTTGGTCTGTTTTTGTACCAAGTATTACATATTCGAGAAAAAAATCACTAAAATTACTATAGATGTTCCCTGGAATGAATTAAATTCCAGATACTATAATTCTAGCCTTTGACTGCTCCTCTGCCTCACTCCTAGGTGTTACAAGCAGAGTTCCTTGGCTCTGAGAGTAAGAACTGGAGTCTGAAGCCATTGTATTGATAATGGTTTGTTGCATGCATGGGACCCATATTCCTTCATCACTTTTCTTTTTACTTACGTTGTTTGGTTTCTTACACTTTCCATAAAATAGTGTTAAAATGGAAACATAAGCACGTGACGTGAATTTGGGCACTGAATATGACTGGGCGTGACAACTTCATATAAGGGCTTCTGGTACATTTCCAGCAATTGATTTCAAGTCAAGAAACACTAATGAGATCTTCTGTTTTCTGGCTGGGGTACAGAAGCCATTTTTGTTGTGCTGCAATTGGGTTTCACTTCTAAATTGTATCCAGTTTGTGCCATTTCCTTTCAATAGGACAGGCTGATTTTTGAGCTGCACTATTTGTGATATTCACAGAGATGGATTTGTACTCTGAAGAAAAACCAGCTGAGGTTTGGTCTTACTATTTGGGAGTGGCCTAAATTTTTCTTCAATAAAGGTTCACCACTAGAGTAGCTCTATTAACTGGAAGCCATTAGTTTCCACAATCAGTACATCTTGGGCTGTTGTGTAATGCATCTGAAGAACAATGCTTTCCTTAATCAGGGATCTTTAAGTACTTTTGCTGGAACTTCACACAAAACAGAGTCTGTTCCACTTTTCTTCTGAACAGTTGCTTCCCTCACTACTGACTCTTCAGTAAAAAATGTCTCTCTGAACATCTGAGTGTTCTTTAGTGTAACTAAGAACTCTGGTTACATAATAGTTTTTTCATGCATACACACAAGCATGTAGGAACTACTTCTGAATATGGCAAGGGAGTGGTTAGACAAAACAAAAACATAATTCCATTTTTGGCTCTCCAGTGCATTTAGTCTGACATAATGTCATATGAGAGAATGCTGTTAAAAGCCTGGGGAAAAAAATGGAGGTTTAACTTTTTCACTGGTATCTGATTTCCAGCCTGCTGTAAAGTGATGGCAATTTGCTTCTTTGTGCTACACTTGATCAGGCTTCCTTCTTTATTGCTTTTGACCTCCACAGCCCAGATTAGAGCACTAATAATCATTCTTAATAATAGCTTTTTAAATAATAAAATTTTGTTGTGGATATTGATTTGTTGATACATGTTTCCTGTATATTTTTTTTCTAGATGACATTATTTATACATACAAAGTCATTAAAACTGTTTACTGCAGATATAAGCATAGCATCCAAACAGATTCTCCTTTGCTTATGGGGTAAGAAGAATGATTGAACTTTAAATACAAGTGATAACAATTAATAGCTATCAGACAGAAGGTTGAAAGATAAAGAATTCAAGAGAAGAGTTGTTCTGCACTTAAAGTGATTAGAATTACTGTTCCATAAATATGCATTGTAAAGATAGGAAGAATGGATTAATTTTCTTATTGCAATTGTGTGCCAAGAATTTCCATAAAGAAGTTTAGTTCTAAACTGTCCATCTTGGATTATAAGCTTTAAATGGACAAATAGACAGGGAGGAACAGCTTATACTATAACTTCGTTTTCCCTCAGCAAAGTGAAACAGTTTGAAGACCAACTTCAGCTTCAGGTAATTAAGCAATTAGCATTCTAATTGAAAGTAATATAGTTGAAGCAGATTACAGGTTGACTGAAAATGAATGTGAATTGATGACAAACTTGTAGTCATTTTTATAATTTTAGTTTTTGAAATCAGCAGTTGTCTTTATAGAAGATGGTTGCAGTTGTGTAAAAAATATCCATGTGATCACATGTGGGCTGGGTTTACTGCACTAAATCATGGTGTATTGAATAAGCCATAGTACCTGATTCATACAATAAACCATAAATCAGAGGTGGGCGATTATACTGATGGCCACATTCCTTGGGGATAATTTGGAGGTGGGGGTTAGATTAACCACTTGAATATAAAACATGGTTTACACATGCATAAACACTACTGGGTTCATGCACTGTGCTAAGCCCAAATGAGGTAATCCATATTACAGTTTACCACAGTGCATGAACTTAGCTAGAATTATGTAATGGAAAGAATGGCACTTCTGTCTATAATCCAGTGAACTGTTGTATTTTGCTTTCAGTTACAATGAAAAAACAAGATACATTTACCCTTTTCTGAGTTATATTTACCATGCTTTTGAAAAAGATAGCAGTTAAAAGAACAGGTAAAGACCCACAGTAAGTGGAGCATGAAAACAAAGTTCCTTTCACAGTACATAAGCTGTTGCTTGTAAACTGCTCATATTTTCCAGAAGTTCTTTGACTATTGCATATACTTTGAATTTGAAATATTATGATCATTTACTAAATGATGGTTGCTGCTATTTAGAAATAACTTCATTTCCATTTGCCCAAAGTGTTTTCATACCAATGTTAAAATTTTAGGTTATGCTGCTAGGTTTAATCGTATTAGCCACATGGAATTGAAGGTGCTGACACTGTTCTAAGTGGATTTTATCTTTATGTGAGTTAAGTAGAACAATTATCTTGCCAAGTGATTCTTTGGAGTTTAAAACAAGCCTTCATTGATACCATTTCTCTTTAAGTGACAGTCCCTTATAGCAGACTCCCATCTTCCTGTTACTCTATTTTTCCTCCTCCTCTTGATTTTCCAAACCAGTAAGGAGAAGGGCCTAAAATATCCTTATGTGCACCACTGGAGATAGTGGTCCCATGTTTTGAATGGCTATGCCACTTTTTAAGTAATTTATATATTGCTCACTCCAATGATTCTAGGTGGCTTACCAAAATACAGTTCTATTCTGGATCAGAGAATTGCCACAGATCAAGTGAAATGTTTGGTACAACATTGTATAGCAAACTCTGCTAGGCCTGAAAGATATGCTACACTATTTGTTATTTTCTAATTTCTTCAACATTACAATTTCCTAAATACAGATTTGGGTGGACTGCATGAAGCAATCCTAGTATTTCCCATACCTCTAAACAGCCATGAGACATTAAGATGCAACAGAACATGCTGGCTAGAGTATACTAATAACTTAAATAGTGTGCTCCATCTTCTGCCACTTTTTTTTTTTTTTTTTGGTGGTGAACTCAAGAATGAAGATATAGGTGATACCAAGGGATGAGATAACAGGGCAAGTGTTTTCAGACAAAGAAATGCACTTGAAAATATGGATTCTATTCACTTCAGTCATAGAAATGGTATCATGGGCAAGGGAAACCTTACCTCTTCTCTCTCTAAGCAGATGAAGAGGCGTCTACTAAGTGCTAACATCTAATGGGATTTGCCCTTTCAAAGTACTGTTATTTCTTTGAAAGCATAAACCACATAAGTCTCATCAGCAACAGCAGTTTGATTTGAAAAGAGGAGAAGAAAGCCTACATTGCTTCAAGACAAGCAAGTAGCTATTGTGGTCTTTCACTATGTGCTTCATGGGGGGCCATGGCTGTGCGAATGAGAAAATATAGAAGAAAAGGGAAGGATCAAAAGATAATGTTGACACATATCCCCTTACTACTCCAAAAGAACCTCCAAGCTAACTATTTTTGCCTTAAACTGATTTCTAGACTGCCCTATTTGTTCCTTCAACTTTCTATACTGTCTTCTCAAGGCCAAATCACTGGTCTGGGCATTGGGCTGTTTCTTCCCCTGCCAATTTTGGAATTACAAATAAAAGATTATTTGTAGTGTGGCTTAGAAAGTAGATATGACTTCATTCCCAAACCCAGTGTGATTTTCTTGTTGCCAACTTGCAGTTTCCAAGATTCCTTACAATAGGTCTGCTGGGAGTTCCATTCAGAAACTTCAGAAGGGCCACACAATACCAATATAGGATCCTACTATTGTATAGAATCATGTTTGATTGTAACAATGGCAGCTAGTTTCTAATTCTATGTAAGGTAAAAGTTAGAGCAAAACAGAATCCTTGATAATTCAGAGTACCTCATCTTCAGGTTCTACTCACTTCCACTAACAGAAAAGATTTCTTCAGTCACCTTGGCCAATGTATGCATTTTAGAAGGCACTGCTGACAATCTATTTATTTTCCATTTCAATGCAATGTACATCAGGTTTTTTTTAAATCTTTCAAGTGCTAGATCTTTGTTATGGACAATACATAATCAGAAAAGCACTTTCACACTTCTCTACTTGCAAGGCAATAAACAATATGACTTAGGAAAGCCTTTCCAAATGCTGGGCTTGCTGCATCATAAGAACAGCCTGCCCTAACAGTTTTGTATGGGACAACAGTCTTCTTGAATTTATGTAAGACAAATAGTAGATTGCCTACAAATAAACATTTCTTCACTCTTCAGAATACATGGATGCTTTACCCCAAAACCAGTATCTAGGAGGATCTTACCATTCTGAATCATAAACTTTCCATAAAAATATCTCTCACTTTAAGCAAGCTAAACACATCTAAGTGTCAATACTGTTTCCATATAGCGGAAAGGCAGAAATTTCACACTGTGACAGATAAGATGTGCTTACCCCATCCCTGCTCCTTCCACTGAACTGCACCCAAATGAAAACAGAGAAAGTTCCCTTCAAAATCTGTTACATCCACATGACTTTCTCCTAGTCTGGTGAATCTATATAAGCAGGTGGAGAATCTGCTTGCCCTACAAGGATTTGAGAAGAGGGACCATACACTTCTTCAAAATAGACAAAACTCTTATTTGATGGATAAAAGAAGAGAGCGAGGGACTAGTATCCTTTTCTCTTAACTGAAACATCAACCTTTAAAAAGAAGCACTTCCAAAAGCAACAAGAACAGGCTCAATCTCCTTTCCCAGCATATGTTACGGCTTCAAGCTTCCCTAGGTAGGTAGCCAACTAGCTTCTAAGGCTTGTTTTTTGTATTACGGTACTTGTGCTGCTAGGTGAGTTTTCAACAATAGCCCAAACGTAAAATGCCTATTTTTCCCTACTTTGTTTAAATGAATTCTGTGGGATAGATGGGGAATGCTTTAAATATTGTTTTTCCCATAAACTGACCAGAGCTGGCATAATAGCCTTAGAATTTCTCTTTACTTTTAAAATCTTATGGGATTATCTCCAGCATCAGCTTTAAACAACTGTCTCTTTCATTAACAAGTTAGAATTCCAGCAGAGTTCCCTACAACTGTACTCGGTACTTAACAGGGACTTACAATGGTATGAGGGTAGATAATTGGGTCAAAGAAGAATCTTGATTTTCTACAAAATTAAATTGTGAGTAGAGTGGAAGGAAAATTTCAGTTCTGCCATTCCCTCTCTTTCCTTCCACCACCATCCCCCCCGGATGCAGCACTCAAAATATGGCACAAATCATCCTTTAGTACAGCCAACATGGCTGTGTGTGTCCATAGGGGCTGGGACCGGTTTCTTTGGTGTACCCCAGAATTGTGCAAATAATGTCCCACATCCCAGGCCCCCCATATATCCACAGCCTGGAAGCATGAACAAGAGCAGGGCCCAGAGCCACCTCAGTTAGTCTCATAGGAGGACAGGAGAGCAGCATCAACTGGCTCCATGCAAGAAGGACATGTGAATGATCGCATCAGCCAGTCGTCAATGCAGTTTACATGGTAGATGTGTAGACAAGGCAGGAATCGGATGGGGTCTCCATATACAAAATCCAGCATACAGATTACACACCTGGAGAAGTAGAAAGAGAAACTGAATGCTAATACAAAGGTGCTATAAGATGGTTTCCAGGCCATCTTCTATTTCCTGCCCAATTTGCTGCTTGGTAAGTTTAGATACAGTTGTAAAAGACTAGTTACTGTACTTTTTTGCCATACGCTCAGCTTTTTAAAATATACCACCAGCCTTCTGCACTGAACTTAGTTCATGATATTTGAAAGTACCCTTGTATTATTTTTTCAAGTGGAAACTTGCAAGAGCTATGCTGCTTTTCTTCCATGTATAAGCAACATGTTCTCGCCTCACAAAAACTGCCCACAAAGAATGAACATTTTTGTTAACTTGATACTAGGGTTTCTGATCTCCAGTTTACCCTGTTAACCAGGAGATCAGAATATCACTGATTAAATCCATTCCCATCCCCGTCCTCAGTATCAATAAGATACAATAACCACTGCCTAAGAAACATGCCTTATCCAAAACAGCTGTTAATACTGTTGATGCAGGTATCTCCCAACTGACTGTGCTGTGATGCCAGAGTAGACTACCTTCTTGCTGGCTATATATGCCAGAGCAATGCATTCTCTGACCCACTGGCTGATGGTGGATTGTATCCTCTCCAGGATACCTATTTTATAGGAGGCAAATTTGTTATTGATCTTCCATCCCTTTAGAGTATGTTTGAGATACAGTCTTAGTGCCCTTCTCTGCATATAGCTACTTTGTGTTGGTTGGTTCTCTGGGACTGGAAAGGTCTGGGCAGAAACTGGGGTAAAGTTTCTTACTGGTGAAATTTGGAATTGACTTTAGGCATGAAGCAGGGATCCACTCTTAGCACACTTTGTTTTGACAGAATACACACAGAACCCCTCTTGGCCCCCTTTGGACAAATCCCAAGTTCTGGGATTCCTGTTGTTAGTACAAGCCTCTTTTATACCACAATTCAAAAGCACAGTAAGTCAGTTGACAGATCTTAGTGGTAGCTGGATTCCCATTAAATTTCTAGATGCAAAATTGTAGCCAGTCTGTGACTAGGTAATGAACTTAAGAATACTTCGGTGTTTTAAGAAGATACCATATTCAATCATCACTCATCCCCTTTCGAATGGAGAACCATGGCTCCTGGGCCAGGAGGGAATAAAAATTACCCAATGCTTTGCACATATTCACCTTGAATATCACTTTGGATAGTTTTGGGTCAATGCCAGGCAAGCAGAGAGTAGTCTTTCTGTTCATGAACCCACTAGGGCACTGATCCCCTCTGTAATCTCAAAATTGGGAGAAACACTTATCTGTTGTCCACTGTTATGAACAGGTCACCTGAGGGGATCCCCATCTTTCTGAAATCTAGCAAAAAAAATCTCAGTGTAGGATGCCCTCTCCTCAAGTGCTGATAACTCAGCCAGTTGGCTATAGTGTTTAGTGATCTTTGCTGATATGGAACATAGATGTTTCTTTATTCACATTATTACAGTAGTTGTATTGCTTCCTTCTGAAGGCCCCATGATTTTCATCCATCCAACTTGTTTTTACATAGGCTTTGGTCATTATATTGTCCATCTGATACCAATTTACCTAGTGTGAAGATGCCTTCAGAGCCATTCATACTACCCTTAATTCCAGTTTGTTAATAGGCAGTGCCAATCTGTGATGGGACCATCATCTCTGCATCAATCTGTTTTAGAATTAGGCTCCCCACCTCATTAGGATGGCTTCTGTGGTTACTTGATCAGAAAGCTCTCTGAGTGGCTTTCCCTGTGCCAGTTTGGCTATAATTAGCAATCAATGCAATGATTGGGTTCCCTTGCTTGGCACTGTCATGTGCAGATGGGACTGGGTCTAGAGTGGAAAAAGGAGCCACTGGAGTGATCTGGAATGGAATTGGGCCTATGGTACTGAATCAAGAGTTGTAATCATTATCCTTGTAATCATGAGGGTTGCCCTCTTAAGATGTTAGGGTCTTCCTCACACTCTTCAAACCTTAAGGGTCTTCTCCTGAGACAAGAAGTGTTTCCTCTCCTCCCTGCTGATGGTGATTCCCAGGCACAGATCTGCTTTAATAATATGAATGCGGTCTTGGTGAAATTCACCATGGAATCATGCTCTGTGAGGCATCAAAGCATCAAGATCAGGCTGTTAATTGCTTTTTCCATAGAGGGTGTTCTGATAAACAATTTATTCTAAGGTGAAATGAGGACCATGAGGACCGAGCTGTCCCATAATGGATGCCATCTCTTTGGTAAATACTCTGGATGCTAAGGCCAGTCCGAAGAATAGTAGTTTGAACCAGAACTAGTCCTTCCTGTATGCAGTCTGAGGAACTTCCAGTGGGATAGCCTGACTAGGATATGTAAGTAAGCCTCCAACACGACATATGTTAGGAAATCATCTAACATATGATAACAAACAACTGGCAACTCAGTTATTAAACAAAGTGGTCACTAAGTGAAATCACGACTGTGCTTATGATCTTACTTCAGCTTTCCTTTACTTTACAGACTTGCGAAGGTCGTAAATGCAAGGACTGGTTGTAAAATTTTGATTTTCATCACCATTGTACTTGTGAACAGTTACTAAATGAGGTAGTCACTAAATGATGACTACCTGTATTGCCTGTGCTATGGGCTTCATCTTCAGAGACCAAGAATAGAATTTGTGGCTATACAGGTAGTTCTCATTGAACCACCACTCGTTCAGTGACTGAAGCTATGACAGTGCTGAACAAGGGGGGCTTACAACAGATCCTCGTAGATGTGGCAGTTGCAGCATCCCCACAGTCATGTGATCACAATTCGGGCGCTTGGCAACTGGCAGTTACGATGGTCACAGCGTCCTGCAGTCATGTGGTCACCATTTGCAACCTTCAGTGCCAGCTTCTGACAAGCAAAGTCAATGGGAAGCTGGCAGGAGGTTGCAAATGGTGACCACATGACTGCGGGATGCTGCAACTGTGGATTTTGCCTGACGGCAGCAACTGGGACTACCGCAACTGCCATCGTAAGTTGTGTGACATTGCAGTTTATGACTGCGTCACTTAGCAATGGATTGTTGGTCCCTATTACCGTAGTTAAACAAGGACTCCCTGTATTAGAAAGCATGCCAGATACTTATAGGCAGAACCGCTCTTCTTCAGTTTTTCAACTGAGTGAGTTCAAAACATCTTTTTATCTACATAATCCTTAAACTAGAGCATTAGCTGAACTAAAACTGGATAAAGTATGGCCTATTAATATATTCTATCCTTAAGAAACAAACATTATCCTCATATCTAAGAACATCAAACTAAGGTATATATAGAAGTAGTGATGAAAATTTTTTTTTTCAGTTTAAATATATCTTTTTTCATATTCTCTGTAATTCTGAGATTTTGAAATAAATACTGTTCTGTTGGTTCAGTGCAAAGAAGCACAGTCCAAATTTCTGGATCATTTTGACTATCCATGGGAATTGTACTGCAACACATTTAACAGGGAAAGGCTGCTCTCTCTTTGTCCTTTCCAGAGAAAAAGTTCAGAAATATGCAGCTCATTACAAGTAGTCCTCACTTGCTGAACTGCCTTGATAAGAGACCATTCAAAGTTACAATGCTGTAAAAAAATAAAACAGCTTTGCAACTAGTCCTCACATGTATGACCATCACAATAACCCTCAGGCATGTGGTCGCCATTTGGGAACTTTGCAACCAGTGCACATTTATGACCATCACAATGTCCTGCAGTCATGTAATCATCATTTGCATGCTTCACAACCAGCTTCTGACAAAGTTAATGGAGAACATGGAAGTAAAATCAAAGTCACAGTCATATGATGTCTTGCTTAATGACTGGGGTTATTTGGTTAACAACCAAAATGGGAAGTGACGTTGTAAGCCTGTCATGGTCACATGGCTTTACACTTAGCAACTGTGTGCTTAGTGACAGAACTGCCAGTCCCAATTGTGGTCATTAAGCGAGGACTACCTGTAATTATTTTAATAGTTAAGCATAAAACCATAACAAAGCTCTGCAGTGTTTATAGAATGCTCTTATTCAGAATTCCAAGCAGCCATGCTTTTTCCTAGAACATGTCCATTCTGTATCTCAATTTATCCCACACCTTTCATCAGAATCCTGTATCCTTCATATCATCCAAGATGTTTGAACGTCAGTAGTGCGGTACTAACTAGGTAGGATTTATATTCAAAGAAAAGTTTGCAACAGAAGAATTACTTTTTCTTTCTCCCTCAGTTGATTCAGGAACTAGATATATCTATTTTCTTGTGATTTTGTTTGTTTAGAAAATGAGAGACAGGCATTATTACAGATGTGTACAAAATTACTACCGGACAAAGGGGTGGAAACAGATCATTGGTATAGTACAAAATTCTCATTTCACCTGGTAATCAGCCTCAACATTCAGACTGTCTTGAGTATGATTCATTAATTAATCTGTATTCATTTATTCCATCCCTGTTTTTGCTACACTGATGAGAGGGACAGCAATATCTAATTATAATTCTTAAATTTGGTAAACATATTAGAATTCTTTTATGCATAGATTTTGTCCACTTCTTTCAACTTTCCCTTAAAGACAGATCTGTTAGCCATTTCAGCATTGAAAATAGTGCTCTGTCTTTTCTTCAAGCTCTCTACAATAATTCATTTCTATCATTTTGTGTAGTGAGTTATTCAAGTTTTGGAAGTGGATTCAAGAGACTTAAGTACCACCTCTGGAAAGTACACTAAAAAAATACATACTGATGTCCATATTATTCTGCATTATATCTTGCAGAATGCCTAAACTAAGTGCAGCTTTTCTTTAGGGTAGTAATAATTTGTTTTTTTTAAATCAAAGAATGTAAAATATAGTATATTCCTGTTGCATTTTGGAAGGCCATTTCTGCATACCAAGTCAATGAATTATAAAGGTTATTTTTGCATTCATTAGCAATTAATTACTGTAATACTTTCAGGATTTGTTCTGACTTAGCAAAATACATTTAAAGCATTGTGCATGGAAACATACTCTTTGATTTTCTTTTCTGATGGCTCTGAGCCCGGATCAAATATTCCTTTAGGAAGGTGCTGAATTAGTCCAATCCTTTGAGCTATCCGGATTTGCTCTTCTTCTGTTAGTTGTGTGGCAAGACGTGCCTGGCTAGGCGTTGGATGATACACTGGAATTGGAGTGTGATCCTAGAAAGTCAGACAACAGTGTAGCTGAGCATTTGCTATTCTCATAAGTAGCCTGTTAAATGTACTCATATTTACACATAGTAATCCAAGGAACAATTCCCTTTTCTCCCAGATTGCTAGAAAGTTGAAAATACCCACTCATTTAACATGTTCCCACTGTAACAAATAGTTCAGAAACATCCTACACTGACACACAGAGCTATTTAACATTTTGACATACACGGGACCGAACTGTAAGATAATATTGTAGTATGCCGGATGGGCTAAAATAAGTTGTCTAATGAGCGTCTGAAGCTTTTCTAGAGGACTGAATCAGCTGTTGTTTTTAAATGTCACAGAAGCCTTTTTTTTCTATACACACGTTATGATCCATGCAAGCCATTAATTCACCATTAAATGATTGGATCCCCTACTTGTATTTCTAACTAGTCTTGTATTTTGAACAGACAAACATTTGGACTAGCGGTATGTTAGCATACAAAGATAATTTCCCAATTTCTTTCAGGTGCCAATATGTCCATTTCTCCTGATCCATTATATTTTGAACTAATGAGGCACATTAGGCAACAAAAATGCACAAATACTTTCTGTATTGCACACAGAAATCCTAAACAATACTGCTCCATTCAGAATTTCAGGAGGACACAAGAATTACAATGCTGGCTGAAGTCAACAGTCCACTTCATAGTTTGTCCAACTGTCCCTAACTAAAACTTGCAGAGCAGGAATATCAGAAACAACATTTACATTAGCAGTCAACTTCAAGTGCATTTATCACTCTTTTCCAACTTGATGCCTTCCCAACATGTTGGAGTACTGCTTCCACAATTACTAGTCAGCATGGCTTTGGGAATAATGGGAGTCATAACCTAATAATTATGGAAGGTAACAAGCTGGAAAAGGCTGACATACACAACCACTGCATTTGAACAGGGCGCTTGGGACTTTAAGATGTATTTATGTACAGTGGTACCTCGGGTCACAAATGCTTCTGTTCACGACCAATTCGGGTCATGAACAGCTCTGTTTGCAAAATTTTGCCTCCGTTCGTGAACGCCAGATCGGGTGACGAACAGGATCCGCCGCCATTTTTCCTCCTGTGACATGTGGTCGTGGCTTCCTGTAGGGAGGGGGACTCTCCCTCCAAGCAACAACTGCCTCCCCACTCGCCTTCTTGTCCTCCACACCAGAAGTCGCGTCGAGCAAGGTTAGCATTCTCTCCCTTCGTACTGTACTTTGTGTCATATTTTTATGGTTTAAAAAACAAACATATGGTTCAGAATGGATTAACCTTAATTACACTGAACCTTATGGGGAAATTTGATTCGGGACGCGACGAAAATTGGTTGGCTACCAAATTCGGAGGGGTCAGAACAGATTAACCGTATTTACATTGAACCTTATGGGGAAATTTGATTCGGGACGCGACGAAAATTGGTTGGCTACCAAATTCGGAGGGGTCAGAACAGATTAACCGTATTTACATTGAACCTTATGGGGAAATTTAATTCGGGTCGCGACCAATTCGGGTCGCCACCAGAGTCGCGGAACGAATTAAGTTCGTGAACCGAGGTACCACTGTACAGTGGGGCAAAAAAGTATTTAGTCAGCCACCAATTGTGCAAGTTCTCCACTTAAAAAGATGAGAGAGGCCTGTAATTTTCATCATAGGTATACCTCAAGTATGAGAGACAAAATGGGGGGGAAAATCCAGAAAATCACATTGTCTGATTTTTAAAGAATTTATTTGCAAATCATGGTGGAAATGCAACTCAGCATTCTCTCTCCTCCAAACACGACGAGTTGAGTTTAGACCAAAACGTTCTACTTTGGTTTCATCTGACCATATGACATTCAAATAGTTACAGTGGGACAAAAAAGTATTTAGTCAGCCACCAATTGTGCAAGTTCTCCACTTAAAAAGATGAGAGAGGCCTGTAATTTTCATCATAGGTATACCTCAAGTATGAGAGACAAAATGGGGGGGAAAATCCAGAAAATCACATTGTCTGATTTTTAAAGAATTTATTTGCAAATCATGGTGGAAATGCAACTCAGCATTCTCTCTCCTCCAAACACGACGAGTTGAGTTTAGACCAAAACGTTCTACTTTGGTTTCATCTGACCATATGACATTCAAATAGTTACAGTGGGACAAAAAAGTATTTAGTCAGCCACCAATTGTGCAAGTTCTCCACTTAAAAAGATGAGAGAGGCCTGTAATTTTCATCATAGGTATACCTCAAGTATGAGAGACAAAATGGGGGGGAAAATCCAGAAAATCACATTGTCTGATTTTTAAAGAATTTATTTGCAAATCATGGTGGAAATGCAACTCAGCATTCTCTCTCCTCCAAACACGACGAGTTGAGTTTAGACCAAAACGTTCTACTTTGGTTTCATCTGACCATATGACATTCTCCACCATGATTTGCAAATAAATTCTTTAAAAATCAGACAATGTGATTTTCTGGATTTTCCCCCCCATTTTGTCTCTCATACTTGAGGTATACCTATGATGAAAATTACAGGCCTCTCTCATCTTTTTAAGTGGGAGAACTTGCACAATTGGTGGCTGACTAAATACTTTTTTGTCCCACTGTAACTATTTTTTTAAGCAATCTATGCTCTGCAATTATATAGTAATGAATTCTATAGGGCTAGCTTGGTCTTGGTCTTTTTAAACATCAAGCTTATGAATCTCTGCCTTATTTCAGCAGATTGTTGCTTGTAAATCCTTACTCACACATACAGTCTCTTTTTAAACATCCACTACAAACAATGGAAAATTACTGCTTTATTCCATTTCCCTGCTACTTACTGCACAAATTGTTCATGCCTAGCTTAAAGTGGATGGCTAGTTTTTAGCTCAGGATGCTATATGAACACAGCCCATAGTTAAATTTATGGTTCAGTGTGTTGTATGAATCCAGGCAATTGGGTAAGCTGTGACTTAGTTAACCATGAATTAGCATATAACAATTTCAGTCAGGTCTGTAGTAACATACAACATAAAACTACTCTTTACTTCTCAGTCTTCTCTATAGAAGAGCTACCCCACTTTGGAAAAAACTGGCCTGCATGTGTGACAGCTTGTGAAAATGTAAAAGAAAAATGTAATTGCTCCCAAACCTCAGATACAAGGAACAGAAATCAGAGGCAGCTGGGACAACTATTGAAAGAGTGACACCAAGCTACATGTGCTAGGTAATTTATCTCTGGAAAGAGATAGCAGCACATTAAATCAATGGGATTTGTTTTCTAAACATTCACTGGAAGCTTAACACATGGTTCAGACCTTCATTCGCTTTAGGAAACAGTCCCTGATTGCTAGCACTTTCATAGCATGATTCATATTCCAGTTTCCCTCTATCCAATTTCACTTGCAATTCAAATTTGACAGAGATCCTCATCAAAAGCTCTTGAGTTAATTTAGCAATAATGAGATAAGAGGACTTTCAAAGGACTGAAGTAAGAAGTGGAGTCCCTCAAGAACCTGGTACTTTTAAATTTGTTCATAAATGATCATGACTTAGAGATAAGAAATGATGCAGAACTATTCAGGGAAGTAAAAACTAAAAGTGATTATGAAGGAATCAAGAAGGATCTCTCTAAACTGGGTGAATGGCCAACCAAATGACTAATGTAGTTCACAATTTATGTATGTGTAAACTGATGAACACTGGGGCAAAAAAATCTAACTTCATATATACATAGTTGTTGATTAATGTTGTTGATTCAGTGTGTGGCAGCTATGAAGGCAAATTTAATGCTAGAGAACATTAGGAAATGGATTGAAAATAAAACCGTCAACACTGTAATATCTTTATATGAATCCACTTCTGGAACACCTTGAACAGTTCTGGTCTCACATTTTAAAATGTATATAATAGAAATGGAAAAAAGCACAGTAGATGGAAATTAAGTTCACCGGATGACGTTGGGACAGTCATTGTCAACTCAACTTACCTCACAGGGTTCTGGTTGTAGGGAATAACCAGAGGTTGGAGCCCTACATGTGCTGCCTTGAGCTGCTATATGAAAGGCAAGATAGCAATGAAATAAATTTAAAAAATGATGAGGGGATCTGACAACTTCCTTGCCAAAAAAAAAAAAAAAGTTAGAACTTTAGGGACTTTAGCTTAGAAAAAGGGGTGACTGAGGACATGACTGAAGCATATAAAATCATGAATAGTAAACAGAAAATTGATAGGGAGAAGTTTTTCTCCATCTCTCAAGGCACCACCTGACTTGAGATTTAGACAGACAAAACAAATACTTTGTACAGTGCATAATTAACTTGTAGCATTCATTAAGACATGGTGACACAGCCACTAACTTGGGTACCTTTCAAAGGGGATTGGCTAAATTCATAGTGTCTATCAGTAATGAAAGCTCAATATTACATCTGGGTCAGAGGCATCATGCCTCCAAATACCAGGTACGAGGGAATAATGGTGACAGAAGGGTGTATTTCCATTTCCCGCTTACAAACATCCCAAAAGTATCTGACTAGCCACTGCAAGAAATAAAATACTGGACTAAAGTGAACCAAGCTGTTCATGGATTAAGAGACATTTGATTCTTGGTTTTCTCCCACAGAATGCAGCCAAAGGCTCATTTATTGTCTTTCTCCCTGTCTCATTCATGAAATGTTATAGGACATCCAATGCCAGCTTCCTTTTGTAACTCCTCCTGTTTTTTCTATCTTTTTTTCCTGCTACAGGTACTCCCCAGTTTACGAATGAGCTCTGTTCCCAAGATCTGTCCTTAAGTCAAATTTGTATGCAAGCCAGAACAGTATTATTGTATAATACTGTATAAGTAGTATCATGTAATGAACTTGAACCTTTGTGTATTTAACTCAAATCAATGTACATTTAACTTTAATTTTGCTACAATATGCTCTGTTCTTAACTATGGGTCATCCATAAACCAGGTGTTCTTAACCCAGGGACTACCTGTACATAAAATACATTAAGAAATAAAAGACAGAATGGTTGCACAATTCCTTTGCTTGATAGCACTAGGAGTCCTTGTCTGAAAGCCCCCCACTACAACAGTGTCTAATAAATTACCCCAGCAACTTTTCATCCCATGTCTTGTAATAAGCTGGCATTTTTCCATAACTTAATGATAGTTCCTAGCTCTTTACTTAGAATATTGGCCATGATCTTAGCCTGATTCTATTAATTTATGTTTCATAGCTTTTTCTGTGGTAGTGAAGAGTAATTACAGTAGGTCAAATGTAGACTAGCCCACACCCACAGCAGCCCAAGTGTTAACAAGGCAAAAGCCTTCTCTTCAATCAGGGGGGCTTCCAGACTGATGGTTCCTAGCACAAAAACATATTGTGCAGCTGATATTTCATGTTTTCCTCAAAAGATATTCCGTAATAAGGGGGAAAAACAGGAAGCAATGAGAAAACACAGGAAGGTTACAAATAGCAGACGTCATTTTCTGGACTCTAAATTTTCACAAATGAGGCAGGACAACAACTGCACAATAAAAACCTCCTCTAAATCCACCCCAAGTTTAAAAATATGTTTCCACCCCTTGGTCAAAACTGTGCAACAAAGCCAGTCGCCGCTAAATGAATTCATCCTGGTAGCATCTGCGGGACAAGCGGTGGTCAACACTGCAGCAAGACCTGTCCTTATCTCCTACGGTCTAGTTCACGTGTGGACGAAGTCAAGTTCTCCATCATGGCTCCGGCCATCCCCAGCCCATCTCGCGTTACTTGCCCCCGAGTCGCGACATTCCCGAATGCCACCCGAGTCCCCCCCTCTCGTCTGCACGCTACCCCTCGCGGACTACTCAAAGCTGACCCCAACTGGCGAGAGCATGAGAGCATCATCAGCCCCAGAGCTTCATGCTGTGCGTGGCTCCTTTCCCCACCCGGCGCGATACCTGGTAGGGAGGCGGCGGGGCAGGGAGGGGCGGTGGGGGTGGGTCTCCAGGTCCAAGACTCGCCCCATCGCCGGTAGAATCGTTGAGTAGCGACAGGTCATCAGCTGCCTGCGAGGACAGGCAGGCCCCCATGCCCGCCCGCTCCGGGCCGCTGCCGGGACCGGCCCGGGCAACCTCCGTCCACCAGCTCCGGAGGGAGGGGGGAGTGGCGGGTGGGGGAGAGGGGGGGGCCCGCCCAGCATGTGGGGGAGTTTGGTGTT